TTTTATAAAAAGGATATTCGTTTTCTAAACAAATGTCTTAATACAGGTTGAAGGGTTTGCCTTTATCAGCTTCAGATTTAATCAACATTGGCAAAAAACATATTGATTTCTCCATACAAATATTTTTCAAAATACCCATTGGGTTTATGTATTTTACCATTAGGCTACAATAACACACAAAGACTATGTAGTCAATACATGTTTCATTTCTCCAACATTTTAAATTACATTTGTAATGAAATAGTTTTATGAGTGTAGTCTCTTGTTTTGTGGGGGTAAGAAGAAAGAAAAGGCCACTGGCAGACTTTGAGCTGCAGCTGATCAACAAAAAGAAAAAATGGGGAGGGAGTGCACGGAACACCACAGATCAACATCCAGCCCCTCTGCTGATTTTACCTTGATAGTCTCCCCCTGAATAACCACCGCCTTCTCCCTGAAATCCACGCCGATAGTGGCCTCCGTCTTGTCGGGGAAGCTCCCCCCGGTGAAGCGGAAGGTGAGGCAGGTCTTCCCCACGTTGGAGTCCCCTATGACGATGATCTTAAAGATCCGCGTCTGGATGCTCAGCTCCAGGGAGGACGTGATGCTCGGGGCGGGATCGGTGCTGCTGCTGGCTCGGCTCCGGCCGGCTCTGTGTAAATCCATGGAGGATGTCAGCATGGTGACATTGTCGTCCGCTCGGTTCCTTCGTGTCATCCCTTTTCCTCCACCAACCCCACCACCGCCGCTGCCCGGAGCTCTGGTCTCCTCCTCCGGGGAATCGTTGGTCATCGTGCCGGAGGAGGCGATGCGAAAGTCGGTGTGAGTGTGTGGAGAGGAGAGGGGTTGGACGGATGGATGGATGAGTGAAGGGAGGGGAATGGAGGAGGAAGGGAGGACGGAAGGAGGAGACCAGAGATGCAACAACAATACCAACGATGCTCTGCTTCAGCTGAGTGTGGCCCTAAAGGGAGAAGCATTGTAAAATAAAATGTAGTTCAGATTTAATAAAAAAAAATTAAATCCATTTTTAAACACAGATATAATACACCTTTTTCTTTTTAAATCTATGATATTCTTTTTGTAGCCTACTTATATGTTTTTGTATAGCGAATTGTATTTTTTTATAAACATCTTTTTTTATTATAAGATTTTATATTTTATTTTATTGTTATGGTCCTTTCTATAAAAACAGTCTACTTTTTAGAGGGAGGTATGGTACTTTTTAGTTCATTTCATTTATTTGACAAGACAGTTACCTCTCAGATTAGGATTGTGCTTAAAACATATGGTAAAATTACAATATAATAGCTATCTTGCATAGTTAAAGATTATATCAGTTTGTAACCCCTTGTCTCAGTTCACATGTGAGTTGAAAGCAGTTTCACCAAATCATTATTTCTCCTCCATATGTGTGAAAAAACAAAGCTATTGATTGGCCCAAAATATTGATAAAAATGTGTTATGAAGAATTTAGTTTTTTGTTCTTCTTTCCTGCCCCTTAAACTATATCAAAACCCGCTACAACAGTGAACTGCCTACACCAGGGCTATTCAATTAGTTTGGAATGGGGGCCGGTTGATGAAAATGATCCAAAGCAAGGGGCCGGGAAAAAGATGGCTTGAAATATGAGCAATCATATTTAAGAGCTTCAGATACAGTAAATACTACAACAGCATAGTGGAGTGCATATATTGTGTTTAATTCAATCAAACAACATAGCCCCAAGGCCTTTATAGATCTAAATGGCAAGTTCAGAACTCAGTAGGCCTACATGTTTCATTTGATTTCATTTAGGTGAAATGATCTAATCATTCACGCAGAGATGCAATCAATGACAGTTGTCACTACAGTATAGTAGGTGGGTTCGAAACCCGAGCCCGTCGAAGTTTTCAGGCATTGTCTACCCCTCTATCTCTCAATGTAACACCCTCTCTGGAATAAAGGCACTATGGGACAAAAAAAAAAAAAAAAAAAAAAAAATCTTAAAAGAAAAAATGTATGACTTTTTAACATTATACTCAAAGGGCCAGTAAATATCACCCCGGGGCCGGATTTGGCCCGCGGGCCGCCAATTGAATAGCCCTGGCCTACACATTAATGCATCTGTATCATTGTCTTGATTTAAAGGTAGGGTAGGTACATTTGAGAAACCGGCTCGAGATCGCTAGAATTTGAAAACACACAACCGGAGAAAATCTGCCACTTCCTTATAGAGCCCCTCCCCCAACACACACGAACGCGCACATGACCAATGAGGGCACGAGATAAGTTTGTGCACAGATGGAAGGCTGACAGGCAGGTAGGCCATCCAGTTATTTTAGCCGGGCCGGCTAAAATGATTGGTCGTGCTTTTTACAGTATTACGGCTTCCACAGATGACATTTTTTAATGGATTTTTTGTCAAAGCACTTAAGATATTTATTGCTATCGGGATGTTAAGAGCATTCCATGGAATATAACAAAAAGTGTATCTCGAGCCGGTTTCTCAAACTTACCTACCCTACCTTTAATGAAATTAAAGTAAGAAATCTTCTGCAAAAAGAAGGTTGTGATTCCAGACAGTATAACTAAACAATGCATAAAGACTGTTGTTTAATGCAGCTGGAATACCAATAGTAATATTACAATTGTAGCCATCAGTTTATTAATGAATGTGATCTCCATTTGACTTAAAGTTTACAGCCATGCCATTCTATGAGGATATAAGTTAATGCTATTTTTACCAGAGAGAAAGTGAAACAGATTCTCACACCATCTAGTCAAGTGATCTGATCAGCTGGTCCAATTATCACATTCCATTAACCAACATGGCCGTAATGCAAGGGATTGCAGTGTCACCTGGAAGTCCGAATAGAATAATCATCAAGGTGCAAAGAAAAAAGAAAAAGCAGAAATTCCCTTTAGTACATACAAAATGTTGTCTGCCTGGCCCTCAAACAAATTAACAAAACTCTTTCAGTAGCATATTCCTTTAGGTCAATGTAATTTACAAAGTGCTGGACTTTATTTATAGCCCTAGCGGTTGCAGCTAAGGAGATTCCAGCACTGTTTCCAGACAGGATTTGTCATTTGTATTTTTTCCGACCCAGCAGGTGTTTGATGCAGAATCAGTACAGCACGCCTGACTGGCTACAGAGAGGGGACTTCTGGGTATACAGTATGCTAGCAAGAACTACAGGTGAAAACAGCATATGGCTAACACATTATCCTACATACAAACATGTTATGTTAGGTTGTGAAGATCTAAAATAATTCTGGAGGACAACAACAGTTGAACCTAAATTACTTTCAAATATATGTCAGTTTGTACATTGCCCCATGAATGATAAACTCATTATTATCTAATGTTCAGGGACAGATAAGTACATGTATTTTGAAAGCATCTTTTTAGTTTTGACGAGTAATTTACACCGAATGAGTTGTGGCATATATGCAAGTGTCTGGAGTCTAAGTTAAATGTTATTATTGGTTACAAAAGCAACACAATTTATTTTATCTAGACTTTGCATAAATGGCGTTGTGTTGGTGTTAACACAGGCATGCTCATGTGTTCACAATGAACATTTTGCTGATGTTTAACAAGTAAGCTTGTCCTATTTACTATTTTAGATTAGCATGTTGGCGGTCTAACAAAACGTACAGCTGACACACATAGACATTTTATTAGTTTTGCAGATTTGCTGGAAATGATTAGAATAATTGAACATTTTGACCTGAAGATTGAGCTATGTTTAACCTCCCCTGACCGAAGGAAAAGTCAAAACATTGCCAAAATCCCTACGAATCTTCCTTTTGTCATAATGAATATCTGTGCAGAACTCCATGTTTATCCATCAAATATTTTTTAAGATATATTAGCGACACTGCTAGCTTGACATACATTTAAAAAAAATGCAACTGTAGCATTTGATAGTTTCCTTACTTGTAGCTTTTCCTCCCAAATCTTACTATTAGCATCATTAAGATCATTATCTTAATGACATGCGTACCATAAGCTTCTGTTCAATGTCACAGTTTCAATTCATTATGTAAATATTTGATTATGGGGGGGGGGTTTGACATTTCAATGTGAAATCAGACAGTATAATGCTTGAGGATGTTTGAAACAATATACAAGAGAAAGAGGAAATCAGCGTAACTCACCGTTTGAAATGTAACCATGCGAATTGCTGTTGTTTGTCAGAGCTGCTTTGCTTCCATTTTGACTAACTTACAAAACAACACAAATGCACACATATAGACGTGTACACACACACTGCCTGTCTGTTGATATCAGCCTGAAATGCAGACAGAAATACCAATCAAGTTCTGTTTTCCTTCACCAAGTCAATGTCTCTCTTACACACAGACACAAATAAAGGCTCCCTGCTCACTGTTTCCCTCATTCACAGACACAATCTCTTCCTCACAGACATACACACTGTCTCTCAAAAAAGACACACATAATCTCTCTCTCACACACACGCATGTTAAACACACACACTCGCGCTGTGTCAAACAGTCCCGACGCTTGTGTCTGACAGAGCTCCCTTCTTCCTCAGTCAATGAGCTGTTTGTCTGGAAGCAAGGCTCAGTGGGACATTCACATTCTGGTGAACACAAACCAGCAGTGAAATATAGCGTGCATTAACATAATTGGATGCATGAATCAATGTATTTTCATTAAAACAATCAAATCTCCTTTCAAAATCTCACATGTTTTGCCCAAATCACCTCAGAAACAGACATCACAGTTCTTAGAACTAGAAAAATAATTACCTGAATATACTTTTGATTCATTAGGCATTCAATTCCTTCAAAACTAAAAGATCAACATAGGATAAAAAGATAATAAGGAACTACGGGTCATTGTAAAAATGTTATGGCCCTAATTAATGTTAATCACAATAGCTACTTCTCTCTATTTTCTTTGTACTGTGCTGTTAACTGGAATTTGTATACCATTGTACACAATTTCCTTCAGTAAAGAAATCGGGCTGACAAAAATATATACCTGTATGTTTTAATTTTTACTTATAATTTATATACAGTACATACATATTTTTCGTTATGTTCACCTTCGTTTTGTACCGGTGTCCCGAAACTGTTAATAGTTAATGTAAACTCTCAACTTAGATATTATTATAAACTATTTCTTTACCAACATTTTGAAAATGAATAAATGACATTGGTACATACAGTAATTTATTTGCTGATACAAACTATAGAGCAGCTGTAGAGCAGCAATAAGGGGTATTTGTATCCACATAGAAAAAAATCAATGCTCACTCAATGTTTATAAAATATGACACTTTATAAATATATGAAAAGAATAGTTAATATACCTGCATTCAGGAATTATACACTTCACTCCTCATTACTGCTTGTTGACTAATTGTAAAGTAGTATTGAATAAATGCTGGACAATTTGTTATTGACTTCCCAGGGAAAAGTCTCTTTGGTGTTTGCTAAAGCATTTTTGTCCTGCAAACTCAAATCACTGTAAATTGTAATTCTACCAGCACATATTAATAATCATCATGGGTACACATTACATACAAATATATCAATACCAAGAGAAAAGAGTCTTAATTTATCTCAGTTGCAGAACCAGCATTGTCAAAATAAAGTGTACTGTGAGGTAAACATTTACGTATTATAATGTCGTATGAGCAATGTGAAATGACATCTACAGGGTCATGCCATAATACCAAAGCTTGAGCCGTGAGTTAATTATTCACTTTGAGAAGTGAAAATGCATTAAAAAGTCAAAAAAAGAAAGACATCTGCATCCTTTACACAAAAACTTCAGTTAAAATCACAAAAGGTTGGATGTTATCCATGAAGTCCACAACCTTTTCAAGGGTCCTCAAGCCACACTGCCATTCAGGCAGTTTTAAGTCTGTCTTTATCTTTATTACGCAGGATATTCAAATCCTCTTGAAAAATCCGCGTTCAGTCTTAATTATGCTGTGACAGTTTCCCAATAGAATAATTACTGTCACTCAGACCACTTGTAGGTAAGTAGATTTGAAGTCTGTTCCAAGTGCGTTTTTAGCGTTGCATTTGTAAATGCCAGAGTGCATGAGCATAGGGTTCTGTATGACCAAACTGCCCTCCTCTGTCATGTAAATCCCTCCTTGCACTGCAAACCGGTTATGTGGAGCCAGCGTTGTGCGTCCAGGCAACGTCCATGAAATATCCGGCTTGGGAATACCAGACGCAACACAGTTTAACTTCACTGGGGATCCCCGGTTGACTCTTGTGATTGAGGTCAGCGTATTGGTGACACGTGGGGGGAAAACCATAACAGCCACTGGGTAGGATAGCGTTGACGAACCAAAAGAGTTGAACGCTTTACAGGTGTATGTTCCTCTGTCAAAGGTTGCGACATGCCTGAGTTGGAGGGTACCATTGGTAAGAAAAGATACCCGGCCAATCGTTTGAGGTTTGTCCAAAACAAGACCATTAGGGAGGGTCCATGTGATGGTTGCCTGCGGCCAGCCATCCACCGTGCAGGGTAGGTTGAGATTTAGACCGTAAGTAATCTTCATCCCACCTGCAAAAGATACATTATAACAGTAAGTGAATATCCTGCCAGAATTGATTGATAAAAAAACAAAATCAATGCAACATGAACAGATTTCCAATCAGTTATGCATATGCTTTCAAGGTGTTTTCAAACCTGCTTGTTTAATTTCCTTTAATTGACTTGGTTTAATACCCTTGGAACGATCTGAAAACACAAATGATCCTTGTGTGTGGTCTAAAACAACGGCACCAAGACCCTTTAAAGACAGTGGTCTCGTACCAGTCAAAAAAGTACCCTTGAGCAGTTTGTTAGTGATTGGAATTTTGGAAGAAGGAACCCTTCTTCGGGCTTTATCGATTTAAGACACATTGTTAAATGTCCTCATGTGACTTTGAGTGATGCATTTTGGTTAATGTCTAAACTAAGGCTGCTTTTACACGGGAACGTTTGCGTTTATGCACAGTATGCGCTTTCAAAAAAGTCTTCCGTTCACATGCATTCGTTTCATTTAACGTGTCTGTTCAAACGAGACCGCTGGAAACGCTGTAGTACATATGCCGGGACTGTAAGTGGCGCTGTAACTTCCGCCACAAAATACACCAAAAGCAGCGAAGAAGACCCCGGAGCAGCCCCGCAGCAATGTTGCCATGGCTACCCTTCTGTTTATGCCCCGCGGTGGATTTAGCAACATGTTGTAGTTCATGTAATTCTCCATGTTCACTTGTTGCTGATGGTTGTGGTAGAGGAGCTGTAGATTTTGCACTAACATCTGTAGCATGGTCGAGCTGTAGATGTTGTACTAACATCTGTAGCATGGTCAGTAGCAGTAGCACTAGCAGTAGCTACTGACAGTAGCTACTGGCCATGCTACTGCAGTGAGCAGCAGAGGTGGGGAGAGGTGGGGCTATCGTTATTTTTTCAGGAAATATTCGCATAGAGGCGATTACACGGACTCGTTTGACCCCCCCAGAGCGTTTCGTTTGCAAATCTATCCACCTTGGGACCCGTTATCGTTTGTGGGGTCCGTTTGTTACGGCCTCGTGTAAATAATAGGGCTATACGTAAGAGACACTATGCAGATACAAGCCGTTTCGTTCTCGTGTAAATGTGGCCTAAGTGGAATGCAACAAGTTACCAACCCTTCTAGTGATTTGATCCAGAGCAAACTAAACAGTACGTTTGAAAACACCTTTAGTTTATTGACAAAGCTAAGGAGTATTTTGCTTCCTTAATTTAAGATGAAAAAGCATACCTGGGGTTCCCCTGATCAATGGCTTTCTTCCCGCCTCCAGCGCATAACGTTTCTCTGCCTGTCCTGCCACATTTTTTGCCAGGCACCGGTATACTCCCTTATCACTTGCAACCGGATGAGAGATCTGTAGAGTTCCGTTACCCAGATGATGTGTGAAGCGTTGGAGTTTAACACCAGGGGCTAACATTGTCCCGTTGGGTAGAACCCATGCAAATTCCGGGTGTGGCTTGCCACGAGCAGGGCACTCCAGGAAGAACGCCCTTGTGTCTTGCTTTATTGGTAAGATTTCAATATTGGGAAAAGCAAAACTTGGTTTCTCTGCTATTGATGCCACATCTAACTCAACCAAAAGTGAGGCTTCACCCAGATTGTTTTTAGCAAAACATGTGTACCTTCCTTCATCTGCTTTCCTCACTCCTCTCAGCTCCAAGCTCCCATTCCGGTGGACTTGGAAGCGCCCGCCTAGGTACAGTGATGGGAGCGAATGGCCATAAGGAGTTACCCATGATACTCTTGGTTCAGGTTTTCCTTCCACTCTGCAATCAAGGTGAGCGGTTTGGTAAGAAACTGCCAAAACCTTTGTGGTGCTCCTCCCTTTCATGCCATTGATAAAGGGTTCCTGGAGTTCAACTTCAAGTTTCATGTTTTTAACATCATCACCAGCAGAATTGCGTGCAACACATGCATATTTGCCTTCGTCTGCCATTTGAACTTTTTTCACCACTAACGTCCCGTCGTCCGTGATTTGATATCTATCTGATGAGATAGATATCAAAACATTTCTTGGTGAGATCCACATGATTTTTGGAGTAGGTTCACCAGTTGCCAGACAACTAAATGTAGCCGATTCGCCTAACTTTACTGTAACCAGTGATTGGGATTTCAACCCAATTGTCGGGGCATTCGGTCCCACCTTGACGCTAACTTTTCTTTCGTCCTTGCCCAGTTTGTTCTTGGCATAACAGGTATAGTCACCCTCATCTCTCTTGCCCATTTGCTGTAGAAGTAAAGTTCCATTGCCAAAGATAACATAGCGGCGGTTGCGATGTCCGCTGTCATCCGATTGAAGGGCATTGTTAATTAAGGTTCCATCTGGAAGGCTCCATGTAACTTCTGGATCAGGGAGGCCTGTTGCAACACAGTCCACCTAAAAAAATGCAAAGCAGGTAAAATTAGTGGAGGAAGTAGTTGATTTTGTTAAGGAATAATTCTTCTAGATATCTAACCTTTTGCTCTGTGACGTTTTATGATCTACTCTGACGTCTGTTATCTCCTTTAAGGAAAGGCATTGGTGCCATATGTGTTGTTGTTACCAGTTTGTGACCGGTCAACTTGTCTGGCACGAATGGTAATTGTTGTGAGAACGCTGAGGCACTTCTTTATCGGTGTTTGTGGACTCTAAGGTGTGAAATCTTTGAGGCCATGAGTGTCGGACGCAAGTGGTTCAGTGTTCCCAGCTGTTTAGTCTACTCCTTCAGAGATGTTGATTACTCTCTGTGAACCAGTTAAAACGTCTAGGATAGAGAGAGGCTCTTCAGAATTGACGTGGCAACTCTACCGTGAAGTCAGAACCTCTGACTCTTTGACTTGTGATGTGAATCCTCCGGCCAATACTCTGAATAAACCCATCAGTGTTTGACATCAAAAGCTCCAACTCTCACCGTGTCTCCTTCCTGAGTCGGTGACTCCCACTGCATTGCTACACAGAAGTTTCCCCCACAGATTTAATTTAAACTCTTAAATATTTGCTGTAAGTTTGTTTATGGTTGATTTTAAATTGTTCTTGAATGTAAGAAATGTATGCCTATATTAACAATAAAGTAACTGAAATTAAATAATTGTTTCGTGATATGCTTTATCATTGTTTACCGTGTTTTATTTACATGTTAAACTGCTAAAATCAATAAATGGTGGCCCTTAACGAAACAATGAAAATGTTATGTAAATGAGACCATTGTCTTATCATGACATCAAATGTATTACTATTTACAACTATAAAATGTAGAAAAAACTAAAGAATACCCTTTAAAACACAGGTGTTGGACCTGGCCTATCAAACATTAAAAGATGTCCAAAATCTACCTGGAAATTCTCTCCAAAGGTGACCCTGGTCTGTGCAGTCCTCACATGTTCGATTTTGGGAGGGGTCATAATCACCTCCACCTGAAAAATGTAAATACATTGGGAAATACAAGCAAATACATTTTTCAAATACAGACAAATATCTATGAAAACTTGCCTGTGAAATATAAAGAGAAAATTAGACATTAAAATCCTATTATTAACAAACCCTGGGGACAGACCACATATTTGGCTCTTACAGTATAGGTAGTTGTAAAGACATGGTAGATGTCTTTTCAACAGTGACTTTGTCAATCATAAATAAAGCACTGACCAAAGACCTTCCTCAGCCAGAAAGGAAAAAAAGACTAGTGGATCAGAGTTGGTAGGAAAATAAAGGTGCCTGAAGTCCTTATGTGTCCTGTTCATACCTGGAACAGCTCCATATCCTCCCCATTGGGCCGCGGAAAGACACACAGATAATTTCCACCATCCAGCTCTGTTAGCTGAAGTATCCTCAGTGTCCCATTACGGAAAACTTTAATTGGTCTCTCTGGACTGCGGGCAGATGGGGAAGAGAATAGAGGTTGAACAAAAGCAGTCAGTGAAATTATATGGAAACTAAAACCAATGTATTTATTTATAACAAAGTCAGTAGTGAACTGATTCACAAATTTGCAAAAATAAGTTGCCTGTATCGGTGTTCGATAATGGTTTTGGAGGGAAGCTGCCAGTACGTCCCTCTTGTGGATCCGGTAGACTCTGGACAGTGGAGGTAGACAGCAGAACCGTACATAGCCGAGACAGAGTGCTGTCGGGAAGGCACACCATGTCGTTGGGTTGTTGGAGGGATGGGGAGAGGAGAAGGCTGGCGTGAGAAGGAGGGGGGATCGGACCTCACCTCCAGCTGGATCACTCTTTTGGCTATGCCAACAGCATTAGTGGCCAAACACTCGTAACTGTGGAAGGTTTTACATTACACTGGTGAAAACTTAGATCAACAGTCAGAAAAGAACATTTGAAATGGCCTGAAAACTTTGACTAACTTTTTTTTTTTTATGAAAATCCATTAATCGTTTTAAAAAAATTAAAAGGTAAACTTGGGGAAGCACTATTGAAAACTTAAAATTAGATCACTAAGACGGGATTTATTTCCTCGGGACTATGATAGTGTATACAAAATGTAATGGCATCCGATCCAATACTTCAATCTGGACCAAATTGCCAACCATACTGCTAGCATGGTAAAAGTAATATTACAGAAGTATATGATATTTTCATATAAACTTTCATTCCAATTGATGTTATTGGCATGTTTCTACCTTTTATCAGTTTTAAATTATATTTTACTAGGTTTAGTGAACACATTCTGATGTAGCGAGGTGCGTCAACTAAAACCTTGTATTTGTATATTGTAGGTACAATTCATTACCAGTGCAGAGACAGAAAGACTGAATCATAAAATGAAGTTAAATAAGTACACATCTCATACCTCCCAGCATCAGCTGGCGAAACATTCTTCACATATAGTGTCCCATTGGGGAAGACAAAGAGCCTGCGTCCAAGATACTGTGTTGGCTTAACATGGACTCCAGCTGGCAGCATCCATTTCAGAGTAGGCACTGGTTCGCCCTTTACAGTGCAGTGGACATACACACTCCTGCCTGGTAAATGGGATTGTATTAGTTTAGATAAATCTTGCGAAAATTGAATTGTCTTTTACAAGCCATATAATGAGGAAAACCTCCTGTTATTGGAGATGTAAAAGTGTGTGCTATACCTGGCTGAATGATCACAGTATCCATTCCTCCTTCACTGATGCTTGGAGGTAGGGCTGCCACATGGAGATGGTAAGTGATTGTATCAGCACCTGCTGCATTGCTTGCAATACACTTATAGTCCCCTTTGCTGGAGAAATTTAGAGAATGAATTTGAAGTGTTCCATTTTGAAGCAGCGACAGGGAAGAAAAGGGAGTGCCAACAGTCCCAACTTCACGTACAAACGTCCTGTCTGGAAGAATCCAGGAAATCTGGGCAGGTGGTTTTCCCGAAGCGAAACAGTCAAGATTCACATTTTTCCCTAGGTAAACTGCTATCTCTGTGGACGCCGGCTGCCGGATCTTGGGTGCCTCGGTCTGGACAGCTAGGGTGATGACCATGCGATCTGATCCAAAGCTGTTCTGGGCTGTGCAGAGGTACTGGCCTCTATCCTGGAGCTGGATGTTTTTTATAACAAAAGTTCCATTTTTGAAGACTTCAAAACGAGGACCATGCTTGGTGTTGGCTGGGATTGTGGCACCTGAGAGGAAAATATAAATTATAAAGATAAAATGGGACGGGGGAGTTTTTAATTATGATTCATGTTTTTCAGGACTGATCGTGCCACATTTCCGTTTCTGGCCTTCTCCAATGACTTTTTCACTCTTTCTCCATTACCTGTAGAGACTTTGGTCCATGCGATGTTGGGTTCAGGGTTCCCGGTTGCTTTGCAGGACAGAAACACATCACTCTCAGCCAGTACTGACATACTAGCTGTGGTTACCGTGGTAATACGGGGCTTCAGCCCACCACTTCCAGCACCAAGAATCCATGGGAAAGGAGGTGCAGCTGTGGACCGACGAGAGTTGAACCGGCCTGCTACAAAGACACATTTAAACACAAAATAATCCCTTATCACATTATCAAAATATACTCAAATAAACTGCTTACTTTCCTTAATAAATGCATTGCCTATATCTTTTTCAATGGTGCATCTACCTCCAACAGGCCATTGACCTCCATACAGAACTCCAGGGGTGGTGGGGTGGTAAGAACGAGGGGTTGGACTGAAACCATAGAATGATGACGATGAAGATTGCTGCTTGTAATTGTGATAGCTAGTGCGAGGTTTGGGTGTCACCATCCTCCCCAGCTGTATGATTCGATCGAGCTGAGCCTGGAAAAATCAAAATGTAATTTACTATATTTTTAAATATTATCGTATTACCCATTTTGAAAATAGATCCCATCTCTTGGAGCTGATTTATTGTCAATGCCATCATTAGCAATTGTCCTGTGTTCTAAAAGCACTGAGGAACATTTAAATGCAGATACAATGATATTGTGTACACACAACACCACCCATCTCATCTTAACTCATCATACTTGTCTGTATCTGTTCCTCAGCCTTGACAGAAACAGTTGATCTCTGTTTTGTGTCCTTCCATCCACATCATGATTTTGTTGATGATGATGTGACACATGAGGATAAGCGACTATAACTCTGGAGTTTCCCATTGTTCCAAACACTGTCGGTGTGGGCTTCGCTGTTTCAGCTGTGATCTCTGGTCGGTTGGTTACAAAGGGGATGTGAGCCCAAGGATGGGGGAGAAACCAGGGTCGTTGTGTTGGCACAAGGTGTGACCCTGTAGCTACAAAAAGACAAATTGATGAAATATCCAACAACACAACCTGTCAAAATTAGATTTTCAAATCATAAAAAAACATCAACCCTACATAAAATTAGCTTTTGTTAAAGGTGGGGTAGGTAATTTTGGAGAAACCAGCTCGAGTGCGCTAGAATTTGAAAATACACAGCCGGAACAAATCTGCCACTTCCTTACAGAGCCCCTCCTCCAACACACACGAACGCGCACATGACCAATGAGGGCACGAGATAAGTTTGTGCACAGATGGAAAGCTGACAGGCATGTACTGTAGGCCATCCAGTTATTTTAGCCGGGCCGGCTAAAATGATTGGTCGTGCTTTTTACAGTATTACGGCTTCCACAGATGACATTTTTTAATGGATTTTTTGTCAAAGCACTTAAGATATTCATTGCTATCGGGATGTTAAGAGCATTCCATGGAATATAACAAAAAGTGTATCTCGAGCCGGTTTCTCAAACTTACCTACCCCACCTTTAAGTAAAGGAACTAGTCAAATCAATACAATGATGTAAGGATAACACCTCATTTCAAAACAGTGTTTAATAAATAAATCATTACACAGCAGCTGTATTTACCTTGCCTTGGATAGGGAAATGGTCTTTGACCAGGCCAGGAAGGGTAGTAGGGGTTTTGATGATGATGATGATGATGGGTTGAAGGCCAGCGGGAGGTAGGGGGGACTCTGGGAGGCTGGGAATGTCTGCCTGGGTTTACCCCCCCTTGTCCTCCCGTATGTCTGTCTTTGTTTGAGTGTGTCCTGGAAGTAGAAGTTTGCATTCCTCCCTGTTTGTTCTGATGGAGCCAAGGGTGAACTGGCTCCATTATTGGGAAACTAGGCTTCGTATTTGGCTTAGCTACCTCTTTATTCTCTTTTTGTGTAACTTCTTCTCTTGTTCTGTCACTGGTTGATTGTGATGTAATGACCTTGGAAGATGAAGTTCTTGTTTCGGTTGGTGTATGTTGTTCCGGTAAAGGTTGAGGGTTAGGTCTTGTTCTAGGTTGCGAGGTTAACTGGATACTACCCCTTGTATTGTAGCTCTGTGACACCCACTCCTTTTCAGATTTTTTTTCGTCTTCCTCAAAGCTTTCAGAGTCTAGTTTCTGTTTTCCTTGTCCTACCGATACTGGTATCTCCTTCTTTTCAGTCTCTCGATTAAGCTCTTTGTCATGGCTGGTCTTTTCTTCAGTCTGAGTTCTGATCCTCTGTCTCTCAGATTCTTTGAGATTTACAATATTGTCCTCCTTTTCTTCAACAGCCCCTTGAGTTGGATGAGGGGTACCATTAAGCGTTGGAGTAACAATTATCTTTGGTTTAGGTGGAGAGCTACCTATATCTTTTTCTATGGCTGGCAGTAATGTGGTCTGGCTACGGTCAACATAATGGATGGTATGAGGGGTTTCAGTGTTTAAATCTTTCTTGGCATCAAAACTACCACTGTCCTTGTCATTATATTCATAGTAATCACTTTCATCTTCCTCTGTTTGATACTCAGCAGATAGGGTTTCTGGGTTTTCCACTGTGGCTGGAACAGGTGTTGTTGTCGCTGCAGTAGTAGTAGTGGTGGCAGTAGTAGTGGTCGTAGCAGTCGTGGTTGTTGGTGTGGTGGTTGTTGGTGTGGTGGTGGTGGTTGTTGGTGTGGTGGTTGTTGTCGGGGAGTCTGTGGTTTGAGGCTTGTTTGTTTGATGGTAGAAGGGTCGTCCGTGGGGGCGTACTCTCCTCATTGTGGGTTTTCTACGTCTATAAGGAGGCCTTCTCCTGGTTGACTGATCAGGAACAACGTGGTTCCTTCTCCCCTCTCCCGAGTGCTTATTTTCGGACTCATCGACTGGCTGAGGAGTTCTATCAACAGGAGGGTGTGTGACAGCTTCTGGTTTTTCTGTGATTGCACCAACAGGGTGTGGGGTTGGTTCTCTATAACTGGGTGGTGGTTGTGGTAAAACTTCAGGCAAACTTTCAGATGTTTCCGAATGATCTCCTTCCTTCTTTATATAATAGGCTTCCGTCATAGCATTTGTGTTGATGGGGAACCGTGTTATCTTTATCCTATTAGCAGAAGGGGTGGTAGCAATTGTTGTAGCAGTTGTTGTCGTTGGTATAAACTGACTTGTTTGGAAAGTTTCAGTGCTTGGCTCTGGTAGCAACGGCTCTGTGGAAAGGGCAACACTTGGTTTAGCATTAGCTTTAGCCAGTATCTCCGCCCAACGATTTGGATCTAGTTCCTTAACAGATTTATTCGGTTTTCTCTTTGAATCTTTAATTATTTTCCTTTTTGAAAGCCCATTAGGATTCCTCTGCTGTGGTCCGACCTTCTTAGGCAAATGTGTAGCAAATGGACGTGTAATTTCCTGGTAATCTGCCCCTGAACCTTCTACCTCCTCCAAGTCAACTGGCAACACCTTCTTCTCTTTTACAGTTTGTACTTTAGACCTGGCAGAGGCTTTTACTCCTGTGACCTCCACCATGTGTGATAGCATGTCAACCCCATACAGATTTGAGGTCAAGCAGGTGTATTCCCCTGCATCTTCTTGTGTCAACCTCCTTACCACCAAAGTCCCATTTTCCTTCACTTCTGTTCGTTTTGTCTGCTGCGTGGGGAGAAGAATTTGATTTTTGGGTAGGTACCACATGGTTTGACTGGGCAGGACTGAGGTCACCTCACAAGGAAGGGTAAAAGATTTACCATTTTCAACTACAATCTTCTGACCATTGAAAGCAGTGGGGCTGAGCAAGAGTTCTTTGATGGTGAGCCTCAGAGGCATCAAGTCCACACCAGCTTTGGTTCTGACCATACAATGGTAAAGGCCTGAGTCAGACTGTGTGACATTTAAAATCACAAGTTCCCCTCTTTCAGAAACTTCAATTTTATCAGTTGCATCTTCCAGAACGGACAAATCTGGAAGGATCCACTCCAATTTCATCTCTGGATCCGAAGTGACAACATTGCACTCCAAGAGAACCTTCGTACCCTCAAGAGCAGTTTTTACCCGCCCTCCTGTCCCTCTGCGAATGAGAGCCCAGGACACAGCAAGGTCATTCTCATCTATCGACCCTCTATGGCTATTGATGTTCTTGGTAATAACTGTTGTGAAATCCATCACCAATTTCTTGGTTGTTGTCTGCTGTCTGTTAAGCCTCAAGGTCACTCTGGGTTGAAGCAGCCAGGAAGGTTCTGCTACCAAATACCCGTTCAATTCTGTAAAATACGGGGAATTTTCATTTACAGCTTGCACATATTGATAGGTTACTCTGCTTGCATTCCCTCTTAGTTGACCTCTCTCCAAGATAGCAGGGCTTTCATAGTAATATGCAACCAATTGCCATAGATCTTGCAACATCTCTCGATCAATCTCACACTCAAGGACAGTCACCAGTGACACATTGACTGATAACTCCCCAAGTGATTGTGGATTTACTGTCCAAGACATGGGTGAACTGTCTCCAGGGTGTCGCACGTTACATGCCACATGAGCACTGTTTCCATGGCTGTCAGAGAGAACAAAAGTCAGATGTCCTAAAGGCTTTTCAAAGTCTCGAATGTAGGGGATGTCCGGCTCTGCTTCAGATTCAGCCCACAGAGGATTGTCCCATTTTTTTAGAGCAGAGCGAAGATCTGGTCGTTCACAGGTAAGCTTGTCTGGGGTCAGTTCCAGCAAAGAAGTCTCATTCAGGGGTTGAGGAGAGGAGCACTGAGGACAAATCTCACTGGTGCCACGTTCTTTCTTGCACTTTAATACGCCTGGGAGAAAGAGGCAGAGAAAAGTAGAGAGGGGAAAAAAATGGCAGGATGATAAGAAACATTGCAAACAGTCCAAAGAATTGGAGGGAAAGGCAAATAAAGAAAAAGGTATAGAGCAAAATGGATGACGGTAGGTAAGACAGAGTAAAGGACAATTTTTGGAATTATGATGGATTGGAGATAAGAAAAGAACAGGGACAGGACAAATTAAGATACAATTGTATCTCTTCATGGGTTTGAGTTCAGTAAAAGTTCATGCAGTCCAGTGTTAATTTCGTCAACGAAAACTATGACGAAAAATGTTCGTCAACGACCTTTTTTACATGACTAAGACGAGACGATGACGAGCTAAAAATAGATTCTTGATAACAAAAATTTGACGAAATGTATATTTAGTTTTTGTTGACGAGACGAGACGGGACTAAGGTGTTAATGGTGGACTATCGGACATTCAAAATGCAGGGTATTTCCCACAAGTGTCCGTCTTGTCTGTCAAAATGCATTTCTAACTTGCAATATCATTATTTCCGCTCTCTTCACTCCAGAAGAGCGATCTCCCTCTCTCTCTGTGTGCGGGGGCGGGGCCTAACAGACACGCTGCAGCGGCAGAGATCTGCCGGGGACGGAGCGTTCAGAGAGTATAGAGACACTCTACAAGACTCGATGTGGACAAAGCTCGTTTGCCATGTTTTCGCGTTAGCGCGTTGACACGAGTAGAGTAGTCTGTCCAAACAGCCGGCCAAAAGGCGTCATATTCAGTCGGAGAAATGCACAATTTTCGACTTCCTTAACTCGTAGCTCTGTTGCCCTAATTACGAGTAACGTTATCACATCAGGTGTGCAGAGGTGGGAGAAGTACTCAGATCTTGTTGCTAAGTAAAAAAATACCATAGTGTAGGAAGAGTTCCTCAAGTCAAAGTATGATCATCAAAATATATTTAAAGTAGCGACAGTAAAAGTAGTCATTGTGCAGATTGGTCCATTTCAGAATAATATGATATGTTTTATAATGATTGATCATTAAAGTGTTCTCAAAGCTGGTAAAGGTGCAGCTAGTTTGAATGATATATTATATATCTGTATACTGCAGGGTAGCTTGTGAATTTACTAAAGTCTGAGTTAACACTTGATTATATTTCACATCATTCATCCACATCTGTAAAGTAACTAAAGGTATTAAATACATGTAGTGGAGTAGAAGTACACCATTTAACTATGAACTGAAGTGGAGTAGAAGTACACAGTAGCAAAACATTTAAATACTCCAGTAAAGTACAAGTACCTCAACATTTTACTCAAGTACAGTACAATATTTTAACATAATTATATATATTTCATTTATTTCACATTTAAATAAAGCAATTAATTCGGTTAACAATTTGTTAGTTTTTTCCTTTAAAAAATAACAAAAAGTAAATACAAGAATACCGTTAAAGTACCGGATCGATAAGCAGTATTGATAAGACTAGTAGTACCGTAGAAAACCTTAACGATACCCATCCCTAGATATTACACAAGTAAAGTGTTAAGAGAGTGAAATGTTGCTTTACGAATTTCAACACTTGATGCTGTCACATTGATTACAATTTCAGATACCTGTATTTGCCTAACTGAATTGGTTTAAAGAGAGAAAACATTTTGACTAAAAGTTGACTAAAATGTAATTTTTCATCGACTAAAAGTAGACTAAAACGTTTTGAGTTTTTGTCGACTAAAACTAGACTAAAACGTTTTGAGTTTTCGTCGACTAAAACTAGACTAAAACTATGAAGGATAGAAATGACTAAAATGTGACTATAACTAATAACCATTTTCGTCTAAAGACTAAGACTAAGACTAAATCAAAAACAGCTGCCAAAATTAACACTGATGCAGTCCATAGTACATTTCTGGTTACAACCATTTATTTTCAGATGTAGCAGGTCATGAACAACATCAAATCAAATCAAGTTTTATTTATATAGCACATTTTTAAAACGATTTTTGGTCGAGCCAAAGTGCTGTACATATAATAATTACCTTACAGTAAGGACACTTGATGTATTATAAACTGTTCTGTTGATACAAACAGAAAGCTTATGGGACTTGTTACAAGTAACATAAAAAATAAGAGACAAAGCACCTGCCTAATAAAAAACTTTGAATCAGGAAGACGGATAGGGAAAAAATAATCAATAAAAATGTTTTTCTTGACTGCATGTAGATCAAATACACTTTGGTGAATGTAGCTGTGTCCTTCACATGTATAGCAGAAGCTTGAAGGCCGACATGCAATATTGTCTGCCAGTACTTTTTTCTATTTCTACTCAAAAACATGTGTCTGAAGCACAGAGCCTTTTGTGCACATGTTCTTAATATATAAATAAGTTACAACCAGTTATTAAGTTATCTGTCTTGACCCTTAATGATTTAGCATTTACACTAGAGTTCATTTTAAGGTAAAAATGGTTTGATGTGGCTTTTTTGCCTTTATAGAAGCCAAGTAAAGGCGCTCAGTTGTTTGCAACAGCTGGAAGGTTGAAAAAGTAAATGTTTGCAAGTTATTCATATCAACCTAAAAGTGATAATATATGAGTCTTGTGTTCACAAACTTGTTTACGCTTCCTCACTCGGACAAATACATGTTTTAATGATGCTTAATTTCATATAATATAAAAAGGGGTTTGCAAATAAACCTTTACTGTTTTGCTTCATTCTCTGTGCTCTGATAAAGTTGTTACAGTCGCAGTAGTTAGTGTTTTTTTGCCGGCAAACCATTGAGAAACTACTTACCCAGCATTTAATCAACAAGCTCACTAAAATAGCAACACATTGAGGAAAGTAGTGGCAATTTTAAGTCTTCTATACTCACATATTTTATTCAGGAGTTGGTGGGGACTAAAACTGAGTTGAAAGGGGAATCTATATAAAGTGGCCACAAAAACAAGTCCACATTACTTTTATAATGAGATAATATCCTAATGTTTTGTTTTCAGCTTGTTGTTCTTGTCACGGGTGGCTAAGAAATTCATTAATGACACCAATGACATTTTTCACTTTCCCTCTACGAACCTTTAATGTGTTTAGTCTTTTGTCATCTAGTTTGGATCAAACTTCCAAGCACCACAGCAGTAAAGGAGTAGGAAATAGTGTTCTAGCAAACAAACTGGATTGAAGCATCCTTACCGTCATGTGTGGAGCTCCATTCTACCAACCACTGTAGCTGGCAGTCGCAGGTCCAGGGATTGCCATGTAGAGAGAGGAGCTCCAGCCTTGGAGCTGTCTTCAGTGCTTCGGCAGGGAGCTGCTCCAACAGATTATCTGACAGGTGTAAGTGTCTGAGACAAAAACAGTATATCATGTTCTTTACTTGTTGGTCTACAGGGTGACACTGGGATGCTGCATTGTGAAGAAGGCAGGGAAACATCTACTGTAGAATCCATAAACTAAAAGGTACAGTACGATCAATCTTTAAAATATGAGCAATTTGTTGAATCTATGGATCTTCTTATTAAGAACATGCAAACTGAAGTTTATGGTGCCTCAAATGTTCAACTACAATACATACATTATAAATAGAAATATCCAGTCATATTATTTCTTACTTGAGTCCTGAGGTCCAAAAGCTTCCTAGTATTGACACTGTTATGAAGGTTTGAGGATGGATATCTTTGAGAAGGTTCCCCTCCAGCTGCAGGAGTTTGAGGGACGTAAGGCCAGAGAAGGAGTATGGCTCTATGAAGTCAATGAGGTTGTGGTCCAGGTGGAGACGGATCAAACTAACAAGGCCCTCAAACAGACCTGGGCTCACGGATGTTAGCTTGTTGTAACTCAACTTCATGATCTGGGGGGGGGAAAAAACAGTTAGTGTTATACTGACTTTAAAGCATCTATTGAGGGTGCAGAGTACCTGACTGATTTAGGTCCACATTAAGTAAGCAGACTTCTAGCTTGGTTAAGTCCACCAACTCCTTATAAGTAATCCTTTAAGTTTTAGCTTGATTTCTTTTTTGGGTGTTTTTTTCATGCTTGTCTAAGGTAGTGAATACTCATCTTGTGTAAGCTAGTTTTGTGTAAAATGGCTGCCCAAGCACACAATAAGCTAAAAAGTGACTAAAAGTAAAGACAGCACTCTCTCAATGGGTTTGGAAGCAACCCTTTGTTACTGATAACGTGATTGTGATTTCTTCTTTAAAGGAGCACTAATTGAGATTTTAAACTACAGACTTTATTAGTTGACATAACTTAAGGACATTTCATCCTCATAATCAAATGTTAGTGGTCTTTGGGGACATTTGTTCCTCAATATCTGAGTCACAAAACCCAAACCAAACTTGACTGATTCCTATCCAGTTTGGATGCATCAGCCTTGTGTCCTAAATGGTAAGTTCTCATCCAATGAAACTAAACTGTCAATAACGTTTTGAGGGAAATTTATTTTACGTCACCTATTTACATTTATATTCAAATGTGCTTGTACGTGTGGAGAAGGTCATGGTGAACGGTAGATAGAGTAAACTAAACAAATGGAACACATGGAGACTGGTGTTCATGTCCCATGTGAAACCAAAAGTCATTGTTGACCTATTTTAATTCATTTTTGTAAGTTAAATAACGTGAAAAAAATACTTATTTCAAGCTAATAATCTTTTTTTACTGAACCTAACCAAGCCGTTTTAGATGTGTTTGAAACTGGCTTGTCAGTCTGTTTTGAATTTGGATTGTGATTGGATCCGTCTGGGCCCAACAAGTCTCAATGCATCTTTATTCAAGCAATCAAAGCGCAACTAATTATTGGCTTTGATGAGGCTTAGGTAAAGGGATATTATATTTGGCACTGTTTGAGAGGCACATATACAGTATAGTGTTAGCCAGCCCAATTCTACATATGCTTTTGCTACATATAGCTCAAGCTATGATTTAGAGCCTGATATGGAGAAGGTAACATATGCAAACACTCAAGAGAGTTTGAAACAAACCCAAGACACCACATCAACAACCAAAAGCATTTAACTACTCTGGTTTGACTTGGATATTTAGGAAAGATTAGATCTAAACAGGATATAAGAGTTACCGCAGGCTCTTGCCAAATAAAGTCAAATAAAGTCATTGGAATTAGATCATAATGATGATTGAGGATGATGTCTGAATTCAGTCTGCAGTTGCATAAACCAACTAGTCAAGAACCAGAAGTCTGTCCGGTTTTAAAAACATATTTAGAGAAGTTAATCTACTACTCTGGTTAAAATACCAGGATACACACACACACACACACACACACACACACACACACACACACACACACACACACACACACACACACACACACACACACACACACACACATACACACACACACACACACACACACACACACACACACACACACACACACACACACACACACACACACACACACACACACACACACACACTACCTGTAGTGATCTAAGGCTGTAAAATGCCCCAGGGTGGACTGTGCTGATGTCGTTGCCATGCAACATGAGCATTTCCAGTTGCCGTAGGGACCTGAATTCTGACCCCTCCACCTCCGTCAGGCTGTTATATCTGTTGGAAAGAGAAAATAAACAGGGACAGTTAGAGGGATGAAAGAGTAACAAAGGGTCATAAAGGGGGTCAGAGGGAAAGGAAACTAATATTAGTTAACTGTCGATGCTTGCATGTGTGTCTGGGCAATTTGACCTTTCAAATGATGCAAAGATGGATAGCTGGAAATAATTGATGGAAAGAGGGATCTAAGAGAGACCTCAGTCAACCTTTGACCCACAGTGATTTCATCATTCTTCAGAGGAAATACACACACACAGATCATGAATCACCATACTGTATCTATTGCGCAACTTTCTTAGAAAGCACCAATGAAGAAACCGACTCAGGAAGTTTAGAGCGTATTTGGAATTGTCTTCTTGTACATCATAGTATGGGTCTACATGCAAAAGGGCCCAGGTTAATAATTATTTCAGCAAATCAAATACAGAAACTATAAAAAACTTTTCTTGGAATCTTCAGGTTTCATCACATTGCAGCTGACATCTGACGAAGAGTCAAACTGATGCCAAATACAGTATATAGAAATGTAGATCCCAGAGCCAAAGACATACTGTAGCATGTTTTTTATTGGCAGGTGGAGACAGAATTTGATAGATTTCAGTGTTAAAATAGTAAGCACTGCCTTCCATTAACAGGATTTGGCACAGCACATTGTTGTAACAGATACTACTATCACGTATTGAGTTCCTCAACTGTAAAACTCAAAGCATTCCCAGGGTGCAGTTATCCCTAGCCAATTCAACACATATGGGATACTCTGCGTTTCCACTGCCATCAATAAAACAGCCAGCTCACAATATATCAACCATTGGTCACTTTTTCCAGAGTGTGTTCCAGTACCATGATGCACATATTCTTTGTATAAGTTTCCCTATTGGGAACTGAACTTTGAACCCTGACAGTCTTGGTGCTTTGCTCTTATATCCATGACAAAAGATGTTGCATTCCTTCAATGTACAGGAGTTACAAGCACTCGTAGATTACATTTCATGGCACACCCAAGCTTGTCTAATAGTTGATGGTCATCCCATTAAAGACACTTTAGATTATATATAGATTTATTTTTAAATTGTGTTGTCAGCAGCTTTGCCTTGCAAGACTCATTTCCACTTCATTGTCAACGCAGCTTTACTCAACTTGAATCACTCTTTTCTGGTTTTTCAATAACAAAAGTTGTGGATCGCACCTAGTATTTGTACTAAAGTGAAACACAACATTTAAAAAAGGGCCTGGCACCAAAAGTGAGTCAAGCATAACTATGCAGTGGAAATGAGACATGGTTTGCATTGGTGGTTTTAACTGATAAATAAACTTGGCTATTTTCTTTTTTCGTCTAGCAATAGTAGAGGCTCAGACACTTAAGTGGCTTAGTGGTTTCCCCAACAATTGTCTGTGTCCTTGGCATATGTTTGCAGTCTCAATGCAATGAATCGTACAAATGGGGTAATGACTCCCAATTTCGGACAATCCCTCCTGGAAGGCACTCATGGTGCTCCACTCAATGGTGCATGGAAAAAGTGTCAGAAGTTGTTGGGTAAAGAATAAGTGAAGACAGCTTCACCATTCTACTTGTTTCGTTCTACACACCTGGCCAATTACTTCGCATATTGGGCATGTTTTTTCGAGTTTTTTTCCCACAAAGTTACAAAAAATGTTTACCATTTCAGATGTGGTGAAATGTGTGGGGGGTTTCTGAAGCTGTTAAACAAGCATAACAACATTTAACTGTAGTTTAAGCCGTATCAATGCTTTAAGTGTACTGTACCTTCACTTTATTGATTCAGTTAATTTTCCTTTGTTGCACTTTTGTATGTAAACTGATAGTTTAACTTGTTTTCAGCAGCGCTTACTTCGAGAGAACTCGACCCTGCAAACAAATATAACCCACACTGCCAAAGAAAAATAAATGGCAATCAAAGATACAATGCATCATTACTGTCTCATGACAGAACACTTTAGCCCCATTGTCACTAGCCAATGTGCCACTCAATAAACAATTGGCAGAGGTCTTTAATAAGAGGAAAGACGCCTGCATTTATTAGAGCAGTTTACTTTGAATTGAAACCGCAAACTAAAGGAAAACAGGCTAGATCAAAATTCCGCAGATGGCTGGTGGGAACATATACCAACAGTTTTGCATTAGAGACTTAATCCCTCTGATCTGCCCCAGAGTTAGACGCGATGTCTAGTGTTTAGAAAGTCAGAGTCTGTTAGATCCCTAAAGGTTTGGTCCCATTCCAAACGTCTGCTCTGCTGAAGTGTCTTTAAGAAATCCCTTTTATTTACATTTGAACAGAACCTGCCTTCTAACCCACACAAGAACCACCATCAGGAATCAATAGGGAACCAGAAATAGAGTAGACAAGAGTGCAACATCAAAGTTCTCTGCGGTAAAATCCAGATGTGTGTCAGAGCATTTTTTACCAAACTAAAACTATGACTTGTCAACAAAATCTTTGTTATTTTAGAATGGTATAATATATAGTTAAGTATATAATTGTTTTCAGTAGTTTGTTTCCTGTGGCAGGACAATGACGGTCAGGATTACTTGGAATAACTCACATACATAAGTTAACGGCAACATAGAAAGAAACAAGGTGATGATAAAGGTGATGATAAATGATTGATTGATTGATTGATAACCACTTGGCTACTAAGGTGTTCTAACAAACATGCCCTTTATTTAATTCCTTTTGCTTTTTGCTCTTGTGTTTTTGTGTTTTGAACCGGTAAAAGAATGGCACCCATATCATTTCTTTTAATATATATATATATGAAGTAAATGCACACTGATCCAAAGCCATCTATTGAAGACATCGGAAGCTGCCATACTTATATACATACATACTGTCCAATTTTGTAACTTATTGAATTTTAAATGGTAAACTGATCATATATCCCATGGGTCTGTGTATTTGTGTACTATGTTTCCACCCTGCCATACTGTATGTCTTTACAGTGGTTAGGAATATATGACCTTATTCAGTTTGACCTGAAGGGGGTGGTGTCATTTAATATTAATTTAACGCTTCCTGGTGCCAAACCCTTTCTAATAGCAGTGTAATGCTGGCTATATAAAACAGTATTTTTGGTTCAAGATCAAGATGATCTGGAATTCACTGATGGCTCCCACGGTAATGTTCCCTTAGCACAATGAGTTCATATGGAGACAGTTTACCTCCTGTGGACTTCAGGCATTGAAGCTTTTGTGACATACTGAATTGTTTCTTCACATCACAGCATGTTATCCTGTTGTGAAGAGCTGGGGATAAAAAATGCAACACACCTGCAATGCAGTGATAGCTGAGTCCTGCATGCAAATGGAAAGGCTCCTGTGAACAATAGCATAGCTCTCGCTGCTGCTTGCCAAGTGGTTTCCCATGTAAACATAAATTGTATGGAGCCAATTATTGGACAAAGCAGTTTGTTATACAGAACAGTGGCTGGGCTATTTCTCCACTGTGCTGGAGGGCAGTGAAAGCTCCGTCCACATGGAAGTGATTAGGAGATTTATCCCCTCCGGAGTGGGTTCAGAACCACATGTTGGTGCTAAGCCCTTATCTTTTGGCTTCGGAGCAGATGTGTTGAAATTAGATGCACAATAGAATACATGAATATCGGCTGCTCGCTTTGATGTAAAGCTGGCATCTTTTGTTCTTAAGGAGGGCTGACAACCGATGGAAAGCAGCAATACGTGTTTCATTATCCCATCCTCTAGGATGCAAGGGAGTAATTCATCTGTTAGATCCATAGCATAAAAAAAAGTAATCTCAACAACCATAAAGCTCTTACCTCAGCATTTTTAGGTATTAGAGCCTGTGTTGATCATTTGTCAGCCAACGAAAACACATCTCTGACAAATCACCTACTCCACATTCCACACTACTTCCTGTAGAGTGTTTAGTTTTCATCCCCCTGGGTTGCCACTGATGACAATGTCTCAATGCTTCAGTGTGCACGTGTGTTCATGCATAGTGAGTGAGTCTTACCCAAGGTTGAGCCTCTCTGTGTCTCTGGGGAAGGTTTTGGGAATGGTGGTGAGGTGTCTGAACGTGCAGTGGACCTCTTTAACACCCGGACAGCTACAGCTATGTGGGCAAGGTGGGTTGGCATGTATGGGGGAGATCTACAGAGAAGATGACAACAAAAGGAGATCAGATGGAGAAGGTTGGGGATTAAATAAAAGTTGGGGCATAATGAAACAAACAAAGTGTATTAAAGGTGGGGTAGGTAAGTTTGAGAAACCGGCTCGAGATACACTTTTTGTTATATTCCATGGAATGCTCTTAACATCCCAATAGCAATGAATATCTTAAGTGCTTTGACAAAAAATCCATAAAAGAATGTCATCTGTGGAAGCCGTAATACTGTAAAAAGCACGACCAATCATTTTAGCCGGCCCGGCTAAAGTAACTGGATGGCCTACCTGCCTGTCAGCCTTCCATCTGTGCACAAACTTATCTCGTGCCCTCATTGGTCATGTGCGCGTTCGTGTGTGTTGGAGGAGGGGCTCTGTAAGGAAGTGGCAGATTTTTTCCGGCTGTGTATTTTCAAATTCTAGCGCACTCGAGCTGGTTTCTCCAAAATTACCTACCCCACCTTTAACCTTGTGAAGATTTACTTACTGTACTTACTACTTCTACTTTTTCAAGGAAATGTGTACTATATTACCATATCCATCCATGTTGTGCTTTCCCTTACGTCAGACAAATACCTTTAGCAAACTTAAAAGACCTTTTTTTTTTTTTTTAATCAATGACTGATGGTAAAATGACACCATGTTACCCTGAACTCTTGAAGAAAACTTTTGGGCAACTTGTCCACTTGCTATCCTGAAATCTTTCAAATGGTAAGGTTTGATCGGAAATGGATATGCCTTTGGGAAGTCGTGCACAGGACTAAATGAGATGAAAAACATATTTATGCTGGTGTAAAACTTAACCCCCATTTTCTTCGAATCATAAAATGTTCTTCTTTTTTGAGACTCCCTCAAAAACAACGTTTTGGCATATGTACTACAGCGTCTCCAGCGCTTTCGAACGGCAATGGCCGTGGCTGTCTCCTCCTGATTGGTGGAGTTGGCCCAATAGCCGTAGCGCCACTGTCCTGACGTCAGGACAGTGTTCAAATCTGGATCAGTTTTTATCAGATCCGTTGCAGCCCCTTTTTTAGAGATTTGGGTATTTCCCTGGAACACCGGGGACACATATTCATGTATAAAAGACGTACAAAAGTGCATTTTGCATGATAGGTCCCCTTTAAGCTCTGGAAGGCTGGCTATGTTTCGGAGATTGAATGTCACCTTTTAAGTTACCTTAATCAGTGAATATTTTCAAATCTAACCTAGTCAGAGGCTTCTAAAAGATTGAGAACTTTTGCTATGAATTTACCGTTTGCCATAGCAGTGATGAGAAGAGAAGGGGAAGCCACGCTGCAGCCGCCCTGCAGAAGATTTTGGCGCACCCCCACTGCGCCATGACTGGATGGCTGTGTGACCGCTCACGTCATCAATACACCTGCAGGAGGGGATCAAGAGATTTAGATGCACTGATTCATGTCAACAAAAACTAAAGATTAGAAACTCGGATTCTTCACAAGGCTGTAATAGGGGATTTAATCTTGTACATCTGTATCTGATAAACTGGGGACTTTATATAATGATATTGCTATTCATCCATGTGAACAGATGATGAGGGATCAGGAAAAGACCCTGTGGTAGGTCTATTGTACTGCACCTTTTAATCATTGCATAATGAAATGGGCTCCAGTCCCTCATTAACAAGATCATATTAATAATAATAATAATAATAATAATAATAATAATAATAAAGCTTTATTTATATAGCACTTTTCATACAGCAGGTGCAGCTCAAAGTGCTTTACAAAATGGCACACGTCACAAATTAAAAAAAACAACAATAAATTCACCTCAGATCAGATGTTAAGACCTTTTTGAAAATGTGCAGCAACAAAAGACGCACGGAAGTAAAAGGTATGATAAGAAAAAAGGAAAAAAAATAGATAACGATTCCTGTCGGAAAAATAAAGGAAGACAAAAGATAAAATAAACCGATACAACAAAATGTAAAAACCTATAAAATAGATAAAATAAACATATATACACAATAAAATAATAATAATATAAACTTCATGATAATTATAATAAAAGTTAAACGATTAAAAGACCAACTTAATAGGAAATGTTTCTAATAAAACTGTTAAATAAATAATATAAGTTACAGCTTGTAAAACCTTTTAAATAAATTAAACAATATAGAATTAAGAAAATAATAAAGATTAAAACTCCATTTAAAAGGAGGGTGTTGCTAATAAAAAGATAATTTAAAAAGATGTGTCTTAAGCTGTCTGTTACTATGTTGCACTAAATCTCTTTAGATATTATTTGTATATTAAGTAAAAAGCCACATTCACAGGCAAAGGGCCCTTATATAAACATATGTTTAGGACATGGACAAACATTTAATCTGCAGCTGCTTATTCATACATATTCAGCTGAAGTTTTACCTTTGAAACGGAAATAGCTAAACTAAATAGATTTGGTTATAAGCTTCAGGCAGACATCATAAAAGAGAAAATGATCATGTCTTTAAAATGCAGAGCATTTGAAAACCACTTTACACATGCCCAAGCCAGTCCAGGAAAAGGAAAGGAAAGAAAAAGAAATTGAAAGAGAAAAAGAAAGAAGGTTTGTGTGATTGCATTAGCAGGACTAAGAGAGAATTTGAGATCTGTGAGAAAAAATGTCCATGGCTGAGTAAGTTGACAACTGTAGCAGCTCTCCTAATACCAAACTATTCGCCCTTAGGGTTAATAACACACGTCGGAGAGGTTTGATCACTCAACAAAAACATGCTCGTTTTCCTGGGGGAATCAGCCAACATGATCATGTTCAAAACTAGGGATATGTGTATACTTTTCACGTGTGAATCCGTCTGCATTGGGGATTAATGACTCAAAGTCACACTCTGGTAGCTCAAACTCATATAATACATTAGATTATGGAACATAACCACTTAAAGGTGGGGTAGGTAAGTTTGAGAAACCGGCTCGAGATACACTTTTTGTTATATTCCATGGAATGCTCTTAACATCCCGATAGCAATGAATATCTTAAGTGCTTTGACAAAAAATCCATAAAAAAATGTCATCTGTGGAAGCCGTAATACTGTAAAAAGCACGACCAATCATTTTAGCCGGCTCGGCTAAAATAACTGGATGGCCTACCTGCCTGTCAGCCTTCCATCTGTGCACAAACTTATCTCGATTTTCAAATTCTAGCGCACTCAAGCTGGTTTCTCCAAAATTACCTACCCTACCTTTAACATTTGCAGATGTGGTTTGTTGCAGTGCCAGGTGGTTTGGCACTTACTATGTTATTACAAACCAATTACACACGCACACACACACACACGCGCACGCACGCACGCACGCACGCACGCACGCACGCACGCACGCACGCACGCACGCACGCACGCACGCACGCACGCACGCACACACGCACACACACACACACACACACACACACACACACACACACACACACACACACACACTCACACCAATACTTAACAAACCCAACAGGAATGGGTGAAGGAAGATAAAGAGAACCAAAGAACGCTCATACATATTTTGATGTAATTAGAGGCCAGTTTGGGCTTTCCTATTTCCACTTCTTTCAATGTGTGCTCTCTGCACAGGGAGGCTAATTTACCTTACAGCTGTGTGTGTGTGTGTGTGTGTGTGTGTGTGTGTGTGTGTGTGTGTGTGTGTGTGTGTGTGTGTGTGTGTGTGTGTGTGTGTGTGCGTGTGTGTGTGTGTGTGTGTGTGTGTGTGTGTGTGTGTGTGTGTGTGTGTGTGTGTGTGTGTGTGTGTGTGTGTGTGTGTGTGTGTGTGTGTGTGTCACATCAGTTTGGACTTCCTGATCTGACAAAGCCATTAGACTACATCAGGGGGTCAGTGGTGGAGACAGCTCAGATACAATGATTGAATGTTCCAACAGTAAGATAATCTTCAGATTGTATTAATGAAAACTGGTGAATTAAATAAGAAATGTGGGCTGCCACCAGGTAGAGCTGGGGGACCATTTACTGGGGCTCAGTCCAGGGCAAGCCCTTGGCATAGGCAGTATAGACGAATGCTAAGGGCGCATCAACCCATCGGGGGCGCCAAAAATTGGGGAGAAAAAAAAAAAAAAGTTAGAAATTAAAAAAATATATTTTTTAAAATGTCATTTGATTTTGGATCAACAAAGTACATCTTATTATCTTATACTAACAGAACTACGCCTATATTGCGTACAGCACTCCCCCCCCCAAAATCAAGTTGAACTGCCCCAGCCCCAGTAAAAACCAGAGGTTTATGTGAAATAGTTCTTTTTTTTGAAATAATGGTTTTAGTGTGCAATTATAGGTTTTAATTGTAATCTGCTTACAGTTCTGTTTCATATTGATGTTGAGAGATGTATCCATAGATCTCTTAATTTTGCTCTCAAAGTGCACCAGATTGATGCTTTTAACTTCAATATTAAAAAAATAATAATCTTCCCGGGGGAGCATGCCCCCGGACCCCCCTAGAGGATGTTAGGTCCACCCCCCACTTAAATCATGTTCAAATGGATAGGATACTAAATACATTTGCACACATCTTGTGTCCATATTTTTCTGTTTTGGTGGTCATGCCACAAGGGGGTGGTGTTCCTGCCAAGAACAGGTTAGCTTTGCAATGTGACAATGTCAGAGCGAATGGGAATTATATTTAGCCTACTGTGTTATATATTGCAAGATTCTTGAGGTACATGCTGTATCCAAACGTTGAATTGCCCTCTTGGTCTAACTTGTATACTATCAACTTGGTGCTAGTGGAGCCTCGCAGCGGCGAAACCGTGCCGCGCCACACTAATTGCGCCGCATAAGCGCATAGGTGCGTTGCATTTGCGGCTCAGTTGAGGCTCCCATTTTTCGGTTTGTCTGTAAGTCCAAAGGTCTAGGGAATAACCGCTTCACTGATTTTTATGAAACTGGTTGAAAAGTTTGGGCCAAGGAAATAGCCATTACATTTGGTCTTTCCTGTCTCTGTTGATAAAGTATGTGCAATTGTGCATTAAAAACCACTAAGATAATAATAATAATGTAATGATCCACAGTGGAAAGTCTTCTCCTCTTGCATACTCAGGGGTCAGGATCAACCACAGAACAGACACTCGTTGTGCTTAGCAGCACAGTTCCCTCAGCAGCAGGGGGGATGCTTTGTGTCACAAGAGCTGGAACGTGTGCCCTCTGGTCTCTAATTACTTTGCCATCTTGTGTCCAAGATCATAAAAATTCATGCTTAACATCGTTAAAAAGCCAGTTTCTGAGATGGGATATATCATACTTATGGCTCATAATAAATATCCCATATTGTGTGTGTACATTTGGAAATCCATTCAGTAATTTAAATGACACTTTGAAGGGATTTTGGAGGCCTTTTATTGGGTGTTACACACAGATGTTCAGCAACCCTTACTTATATCATGTGTCAGGAAGGAGCTTCTACCTCAACGTTACAGAGCAATAAAGGTGTCCATTCTGTCCGTCTCAAGTGTCGAGACGTTATGGTGATCACAGGTAAACGCTGTCAGTCAGCTAGTTCTCGGCTCCTGCTCTCCTCTAATGGCTTTACCAGACCTCCTGTGTTAGCACTTAGATAACTGAGAGGACAGGAGAGGAAAAAAGCAAAGGAAAGTATGTTAGAGGAGGAGAGGACAGCAGAATGGAAAGAGATGAGAATAGAGAAAAGGTGTTCCTGTAGTGAAATCACTTAGTACCCCTCCCAGACTCTGACTTGAAAGAGATAAAGTACTTCCAGTGAAGGAGCCAGAGCACCCCTGCTTATCAAAATCATATGCTCACTGGCACGTAGTGGTTTTCCTCTAAGTCCTGCCAAAATTCACCCTTTACTTCTTTGTTTCCTTATATATGGTCTTTCTTTCATCTTACAACCATCCTCCTCTTCTGTGGTGTATTTTTTAATGTCAACATCATGCTGTCACGAAGGTCAAAAAACTGGAAAGGACCAACAAATATATTGAATGAAGTAGAAGCAGGAAGGGCTGTACTGCATCATAAAACGTTATACGGTACTACTGCAGTAAAGAACATAGAAATCCCACCAATAAATAACTGGATTTGTATCTAGCATACACTGTATTGAATGATAGCAGGAGTTTGTGGAGCAAAAAACAAAAGAAGACAGATATCTTGGTAGTAAACAGTAAACAGTGTATTGAGTATTTAGTCTTAAATTATACTCAATATAGCTGAAGTTGACTTTAATTTGATATAAGCCTGACACTGTTTGATAAGGGACTTGCAATAGAGACAATCTGAATTATTAACATAATTGAATAAATTAGCCAACATATTATGGTTACAAGACAAGTAGAAAGAATAAGGAAGATGTGAAAATAAGTCAACAT